CTGGAGCTCTGTGGTTTGCATGCCACACAGGGGGGGTGTCTCATCAATCCACATGTCCTAGTTTTGTTCCCCTCACCTCTTGCCTCCTCTTTCTTCGGTGTAGGCCGCGTGGCTCGGCCTGTGGCCTCCCCCGGGCAGCACATCCTGGGGGCGGACGACGTCGTGAGCTGCTGCCTTGATCTGAGTGTCCCCAGCATCTCTTTCCGCATCAATGGCTTCCCCGTCCAGGGTATGTTTGAGAACTTCAACCTGGATGGCCTCTTCTTCCCTGTGGTCAGCTTCTCTGCAGGTGTCAAGTAAGTCCAACCCAGTCAGCATAAAAAAGAACACAGGCTTCTTGGGGAGTAAGGCCCATGGAAATCAGCACAGCTGGTCTTTGAGTAGATAACCATTGGGTGGTACTGTTAGAGCCCATAGCAGTATCTTTCTGTCTGTTTATGATGCATGCTCTCTCTCTGCGCATGGACATGGGCCAGTGAGGCTCACACAGCTTACACTCTAGCTTTTGTTGTTGTTGTTGTTGTTGTTGTTGTTTATATCCTGCATTTCTTCCAACAAGGGACCCAAAGTGGCTCATAACATTAATATTTACACAATGAAAAACACAATAAGTTAAATATTAAAAGACAAATTAAACAGTCTATGGATTAAAATAAAATTAAAAGATTAAAACATTTTATGGGTATGCTTCGTTTTATGAGCCCGGTTTATACGACTGATCCTTCGGTTAGTGCTACAATTTTTTTTTCTGAAATTAAAACATGAGGAACAACGTGCTTATGTGAGTTTGATACAGCATTACTGTAGCACCCTCTCTTTTTTAAATTAAAGACTTCCAGTTTGCACTCAGAGCTCAAAACAAATAGAAATGGTTAAACATTTTTGGTTCTTTTAGCACTTCATGAGGGAATAATGGTTAGCGGGATGAATCTGAAATGCCCGTTAAATTAACAATTGAATTCTTTTGATTTCAATTAACAATGGCCGGGACGTTTTTGGTAACAGCAAGCAAATATTTATTAATATTTCTAGTCTGCTTTTCCAACCAAGGACCTTCAGAGCAGCTTACGGCTTCCAAAGTTAAGAGTCTGTGGGGTTTTGGTTTTTCCCCCTGCATGGAGACCAGCACTGAACTTTCCCTTTCCTCCTCCTATCCAGGGTGCGATTCCTCTTAGGGGGACGTCATGGAGATTTCAAGTTCCTGCCGCCACCAGGGTACGCCCCGTGCTACGAGGCCCTCTTGCCGCGGGACAAGATGCGTGTGGAGCCCATCAAGGAGTACAAGCACGACTTCAATGGGTTCCGGAATCTCCTTGGCCCCACGCAGTCTCTGTCGCACACTGCCTTTACCCCGTACCCAGTAGACACCATTCAGGTGAGGTGGCTCAGTGACCTTCATCTTGACCCCACGAGCGTGTTCGTGAGATCAGCTGGTGCTCATGCAGGAGAAGACCACCTGGGTGGTTTGCTCTCAGGCTCTGGAAGTCCTTCCTCGGGGAAGCTGGGCAAAACCCAGTTTCTGCTGCCTTTCTGTAAAATGGCATAAATAATAATTATATTCAGCCAGGCCTCAGTCTGCTGGTTTTTAACTTCTCCCAGCTTTTTTCGCTGGCAAAAAAACAAAAACAAAAACATGTCATTGGTTCGTGGTAGCAATCAGACAGCATGCTTGCCAAGATTGGTTGGTGGATTGATTGATTTAAACTGATCATATTTTTCTGTGTATAAGACTTAGAATAAAAATTGAGGGTCATCTTATACACGGAAGTAAGCTGAGGAGAGAACAAAAACAAGTGGAAGGGAAAGCAGGGATCAAAGCAGTCCTGCAGGGCTTTGATCCCTTTCCCCCTGCACTTGTTAAACCCCACTTAGATTTCTTACTTTTGGTTAGAAAAGTGGGGAGCGCGCGTCTTATACAAGGGAAAATACAGTAATTTTTTAAAAAGCTGACGTTTCTGTTCTTTCCAGATTGTATTGCCCCCACATCTGGAACGGATCCGGGAAAAACTAGCAGAAAATATCCATGAACTTTGGGCTTTGACACGCATTGAACAAGGGTGGACCTATGGACCTGTAAGTGGTTGTTGCCCTTGTGATGTGACGTTGGAGCCCCCGAATCCTGCCCCTGCAGGAACCCTTGAAATGCACGTTGTGCCTTTGTGCCTTTTCAGATCCGGGATGACAACAAACGCCTGCACCCGTGTTTGCTGGATTTCCACAGCCTTCCCGAACCGGAACGCAACTACAACCTCCAGATGTCAGGAGAGACACTCAAGTGAGTTGACCGTGAGGAACAGTCCTTCCACTTTCACCTTGGCTAGAGGGGAGACGGGTGTCACGGATGTGACTCGTTGGACACAGATGATTCAGCCCTCCTTCTGCCCCCTTGTAGGACTTTACTTGCTCTGGGCTGCCACGTGGGGATGGCCGACGAGAAGGCGGAAGAGAACCTCAAGAAAACAAAGCTTCCCAAAACGTAGGTGGTCACCTGTGGCCTGCAAGCAGTGAGGAGTGACTATGGGAGGGGATCACTCCAGCCAAAGTTCTGAACTGATTCTCTTCAGAAGGCTTTGAAAACTGAGCGGAGGGAGGGCTGTGAGTTGACCCACCCACACCCCTCTTCTGAAGTCCCACTTCCTCTTTGGCAGGTATATGATGTCCAATGGCTATAAGCCGGCGCCCTTGGATCTCAACCACATCAAGCTGACACCAGCCCAGAATACTTTGGTGGACAAGCTGGCTGAGAACGGGCACAATGTCTGGGCGAGAGATCGCGTCCAACAGGGCTGGACCTACAGTGCTGTTCAGGTGTGGGATTCTCAAGGGGTTTCCACCTGACCTGATGGTGATATTTAGTGGGGTTCTTCTTCGGGGTAGAGGCCAGAAGATGGTGGCAAAAATTCTGTGGGACAAGCAGGAGACCAGCTTGTGAGACTAGGGAGCTACAAGGGCAGGATCTTGTGGCTTAAGGCAGAAAAAGATCATGTGCCTTGTCCTTCTCCGTTGTCTAGTCAGGTCCATTGTGCTTTGCCCTCCATTTGAGTAGCTTGCTTGGCATCCATTCTCTCTCCTCCTCTTTGACCCCTTTTAGGACATCAAAAACAAACGGAACCCCCGCCTGGTTCCCTACAGCCTGCTAGACGAACGGACCAAGAAAACAAACCGGGATAGCTTGCGTGAGGCGGTGCGCACCCTCATTGGCTACGGCTACAATATCGAGCCGCCGGATCAGGAAACCAGTAAGCGGCCTTATTTTCAGGGTTTGCCCTTCCGGCCAGTTCACTGGAAGAGGAAAGAGGAGTGAGGCGGATAAAAATCAAACACATCGCAAGAACCTTTCCGGTCTGCCGAGTCCCTTTTCTGGATGTCTTGTTTTGAAAAGTCCCTCAAGATGTCTAGTGACAAGGATAAGGGCCAGTCGGCCCTTATCCTTGTTTAGAGGATCCAAGCCTCTAAACAAGCCTTGTTTAGAAGGGATGAGCTTATGCCCCACCATGATGGCTCCCAGAGGCCTCTGGTGGGGCCACAGTGAGAGACAGGAAGCTGGACTAGAGGGGCCCTTGGCCTGATCCAGCACAGGGCTCTTCTGAGTTCCTCATGTTCTTTCTCCCTAACGTATCAGGAAAAACATTCAGAATCGCATTGTCCACAGGCCCAAAAATTTAAATGTGTTTCACATATTTACTCCGATGTATTGCTGTCTCTTGGCATTGTACGATTCGTCTGCATGTGTCAGTGCTCTCTCTCTCTCTCTCTGGAAGAGAGGGAACAGAATGGGGTGCCAGAGTTTGGGGCGCTCCCTAAGTACAGAGGAACTACTTTTTCACCCGCATACCTTTTCCTGCCTTCCTCAGCTGGTCAAGACGCAACCAAAACTCGGTCGGAGAAAGTCCGCATCTTCCGAGCCGAACAGTTCTATGCGGTGAAGTCAGGCAAATGGTACTTTGAGTTCGAGGCGGTTACCACGGGGGAGATGCGTGTGGGCTGGGCGCGGCCCAACGTGCGGCCGGACGTGGATTTGGGAGCTGACGAACTTTCCTACGTTTTCAATGGACATCGGGTGAGTCAGAGAGAACCGTCTGTATTCTCTTGGGTGGGATGGACTGTCATTGAGTCAAGCCATTCATCTGTTTGTCCCTATCCCTTAGCAGTGGAATTGGTATCCGCTGATTCACTTATCCACGGTCTGAAAATATTAAAAGAAAAATCCCCAAGGTGTATATTTTTAATGATGAAGTTACCAGAACTGCTCACTAGAGGGAGCCAGAGACCCATGTTATGTGTAGCATTCACTATTACAATGACGTTCATTATTATCCATGTTTTTCAACATCCGTGGGGATGCTTGGAACCAATTCCCCATGGATACTGGGGGGACTCTGTCTCACAATAGGGGGTCCCCAGGGTTTCAAGCAGCATCCTTTCCAGCCCCTGCCTACATATTTGATGTATTCTTTGGTGGCCCCATCCAAGCACTAGCCAGGTCCAGCCAGGCCTCGCTTCTCAAATCAGATGAGATGAATCGTGTTCGGGGTGCTACAGATGATCTGAATTTCTACCACTATGACCTGGATCAGGCTGTCTTCATCTCACTAAGCCTTTTTTTCCTGCTCCCCTTTCTCTTCACCTGCCGTTTAGGGCCAGCGCTGGCACATCGGGAGTGAGCCTTTTGGACGCCCGTGGCAGCCGGGTGACGTGGTGGGCTGCATGATAGACCTTAACGAGAACAACATCATGTTCACCCTCAATGGGGAGATGCTGATGAGCGATTCAGGGTCGGACGTGGCCTTCAAAGAAATTGAAATTGGGGACGGTAAGCATCAGTTGATGGTGTTTTTCCCCTTGTTGGTTGGGCCCGTGAAGATGAGAGTTGAATGGGAGATTCGCAAGATGGGAATACTTGGGTTGTTTTTTTAAAGCTGTGTTTGCTTTTTAATCATGTTGTGAGTCACCTTGGGTTCAGATATTGGGGGAAAGATAGTCTCTAAAATTAAAATTTAAAATTTTTAAATTTAAAATTATAAAATTGTAATTCAAAAATTAAAAAAATTAATTCAAATTTTTAAAATTTGAAAATTTGAAAAACTGAAAATATAAATAAGGAAAAGAGGTGAAGGAAACTAGGAGGCTCAGCTTCTCTTCCTTCTCCCCGTTGCTGGCAGGCTTTATCCCCGTCTGCAGCCTGGGTTTGTCACAGGTTGGGCGCCTCAACCTGGGTCAAGATGTCAGCAGCCTCCGGTATTTTACCATCTGCGGCCTGCAGGAAGGCTTTGAGCCGTTTGCCATCAACATGAAGCGGGACATCACCATGTGGTTCAGCAAGAGCCTGCCGCAGTTTTCCCCTGTGCCAACGGAGCACCCTCATTACGAGGTGAGCGCAGGAGACAAGGATAGGCGCAAAAGAATGAAGAAGGGGCCCCTGTTTTCCTGGTTAAGAGTTGTTGAGAGGGCTCAAATAAAATGGCAGAGAATCGCTTTGAGGCTCAGTAATAACATCAGTTGCAAATAAAGGTCTAAAACAGTGTTTTAGAGCAAAAAACAACAACACACCTTTTTCAGGTGAGAAGGGGGCCATTTTGGAACGGCTAGGAAATTCAGAAAGGAATTTGATGCTTATGCAGAAGATACCAGAAGGAGAGGAAGGTGGGCTTCTGCAGGAATTGAGAAGGGGCCAAGCCATGAAAAACACACGAGGGTGTGGCTTCCAAGGAGACTGTGAGAGTGGAGAAGGGATCTGAGTTTTGAAAAATAAGGGGACGAACATTGCTCTGGAGCCACAGAGAGAAATGGGTGGCATCTGTGGTCCAGAGAGAGATCTTTGACTGAGAACAGGCAGATTCTGCTTGAAAAATATAAGGAGTGGGGGCTTGTATGAGAGGTGAGACACTGGGCCAGAGCTATAAGAAGGATGCTCGGCGTTTAACATGTGGAGATGAGAAACAGCCTAAAGGAAGACACCCGTGAGGAGATGAAACCTTGCTGCTGTTCAGGGTTGTGGTTTTCAAAGTTTGTGCGTTCTGAGAGAGTGCTTCTAATATAAGTATCTGCTGGCATATTGGGAAGAAAGATCCGTCCTGGTGAGCAAGTGGTCTTTCAGGGATGTGGGATCTTTTAATCTAGATCAGCGTCCAAGAAACACCAGAATCCCCCAGAACAAGGGTTGGAAAGCCCCCAACGAAGGAGCCAAGCCTTTAGCCCTCTCTCTTGCTCCGTGCTTCCTTCCCTTGCAGGTGTCTCGGATCGACGGCACGGTGGACAACCCTCCGTGCCTGAAGTTGACCCACAAGACGTTTGGCTCTCAAAACGCAGTGGTGGAGCTGCTCTTCCTGCGCCTGAGCATGCCTGTGGAGTTCCACGAGAAGTTCAAGGTTGTGGCCGGCACCACCCCGCTCACCCACGCCCTCACCATCCCCGAGGACGAGGTCAAAGATGTCGATCTGGATTCGGAGTTTGAGCAGCTGAAGAAAAGCGCCAGCCGCAAGGAGGCGGAAGAGGCCGAGAAGGAGAAGCAGGGCCCCGCTCCTCCGGCCACGCCCAAGGAGCCTCCCAAGGAGACCCCCAAGGCGGAGAACGAAAAAGATGCCTCCACGGAGAAAAGCAAGACCAAACGCGGGTGAGGGCGCCACCAGATCAGGAGGGGAGAGCAGCTGCCTTGTCCCCAGGTGTTTTTGGACTACGACTCCCAGAAGCCTTCAGCACTAGCTCTGCTGGCCAGGATTTCTGGGAGTTTTAGTCCAAAAACATCTGGTTCCCCCCCCCCCCGAGGCTAGAACCACTGATATGGGGGGATGTTTTACTGGCTGTTGTCTGGAAAGCGATGTGGACCCACCTGCTGAAAATGGGAAGCAACTGTAGAATGATGATATTCAAAACAGACTGTGAGGAAGATCATGTCAGACAGTGTTTTTTTAGAGTCAACAGAAATATGAAGCCACTGCCTGAGAAGCAGCCATTGCTCCTTGGCTATTCCCCTCTTTTGGGAAAAAAAGCTTCAATGTATGTGCCCCCTCCCAAACCTGCCCTCTACCCCTTTAAACAAACTCCTGGCCTCAAATACGTCAGAAGACGCTGTCCTGTTGGTGGCCCTTAGTCTGTGGAGTCAGTCAATAGGGCACCATCTTGTTGTCCATCTCAGGAAGCAAAAGGTGTTGGAACAGGCCGGAAAGCCAGTCCCTATGAGTGTAGAAACACTCATTTTCCAAGGAAGTAGGGAGAGCTTCAAAGGGAGAGCTACGATTTTCGAGGGAACGCCACCTGCACTTTTCTGATCTTTTCATTCCCAACATTTTCTAGCTTCCTGTTCAAAGCCAAGAAGGCAACCACCTTTATTACGCCCACTCCTGTAGTCCCTACAATGCCCCGGCTGGAAGAGGAGGTGGTTCCGGATGACCGAGATGACCCAGAGATCATCATGAACACCACAACGGTAATAGAAGAACCTTGGTTATTTGGCGGGGCTTGCCTTTAGGAAGGGTTCTGCTTCCACAGAAGAAAGTGGAGGGCCTTTTTAATGACATTCAAACTAGGTAATTCCAAATCTTGTAATTTTCTGTCATAGCTTGAACTAACAAAGGTCAAATGCTTTAAGCCCTCCCGTTACCTTCTCTCTCCTTCCCAAATTCAGAAGAGAGGAAGAGACTGGAAGCAGTTTTCCTAGTTGAAAATGAGTGCCACTTGTATTTACATCCAACCACAGAACTGCAATAAACCACTGTTTGTAAACAGTTTGTAAACAGTAGTTTATTGGAACAAGCTAGGATTAGAAATTATAGTTTAATTGTAGCTTGTTTCAGTAAGCCAGGTTAAGGAACCTTGGGCCATGGGAATGAATGGGTTTTTCCAGATAACCAAGCCCCCTTCTCCATGACTCAATCATTGGGTGCTTTCCCTGGCTTTATACAACTTTCTTCTAGAAGTCTAGGCCTCTCCTGAGGCTTAGTGGTTAGAACATGATTCTAAATTATATTGTTCCAGTTGGCCCTTCCCTTTTGCCCTGGGATCTGCTACACATCGCAATTTGGTCCCCCAATGATGTCTTTGAAATAGAATTCAGGCTGATAGCAGTTCCTCACCCTTGCAAGAAACCATGGTTTAAATTAACCACAGTTTGTCCACATTTGACATAACCAGAAACCACACACTTAGTTTAAATTCAGATGTTTGGGATGAGGCTTCCACCCTAACCCCTTTCTTCCCTTCCCTTCCTCTCAGTATTACTACTCAGTCCGGATCTTTGCGGGGCAGGAGCCCACCTGTGTTTGGATAGGCTGGGTCACCCCGGACTACCACCAGCACGACATGAATTTTGACCTCACCAAGGTGCGCAGCGTCACGGTCACCATGGGCGACGACAAGGGGAACATCCATGACAGGTGAGACTGAGCCCAGCGCGTGCTGTGCGTTGAGGGTCTCGGGACGCCATCCCCGAGGCCAGACTGGAGGCAGGGAAGAACTGAAACTCCACAAACCGTGCTGGCCACTGAGATGTAGTTCCTAGAAGTCCCCATGCTGTTGAACCCAGGACTCTCATCATCTCCAACCATGACCTATTCTGCCTGTGGTTGATGAGATCTACAGTCCAACCACACTGTAGTTTCCTGCTCTGTTCATTTGTTTGTTTGTTCGTTCATTCATTTGTTCGTTCATTTGTTCATTAAATTTTTATACCGCCCATCTGATCAGTTGTCATTCTGGACGATTTACAACACAATAAATCATAGTATAACAAAAGGCTCCACATTAAACTAACTCGAATTAAATAACAAGGACATGAGCAGTGAAAAATTAAAAAGTTTAAAAATAGACCAAACAGGCAGCAATAAAGATAAAAGGCTGATGCTCTCACAGGATCTTAAGTTGGCTGATTCTGGTAAGCCTGCCAGAATAAAAATGTTTTGATAATTGACTGCACCCATTGGGTTTTCCAGTTTTTAGACTTCGTTTTGTTATGGGTATGTTTTAGTGTTTAGTGTTTTGTTTTGCTATAGTTCTGCTTTAACTGTTTGTAAAGCACCCAGAATAGTGCTCTGACACAATGGGGCGGTATTGGATGGATGGATGGATGCATTGATTGATTGATTGACTGATTCATTCATTCATTCATTCATTCATTCATTCATTCATTCATTCATTCATTCATTCATTCATTCATTCATTCATTCATTCATTCATTCATTCATATAAAACATCAGGGAGGGAGCCAGGTGATTTTCCTATGGTAAGTCATTCCAGAGATCTCAGGATCAGCATCTTCAGCTGACCCACCTGTGAAGGGCGAGTGGGATGGGAAGTCCCTGTGGGAAGGAGGTGTTTTGCCATGCCTTGAGGTCCCAAACCATTCAGGGTTTTATAAGTCAAAGCCAAAACCTTGAGCTGAAAGGATTAGAGGCTCAAAATACTTTAGGAAAGGCACGGTTGGCCAGGGACATCAACCACACCTCTCTCTTTTTTCCCCCCTGGCAGCATCAAGCGAAGCAATTGCTACATGGTCTGGGGAGGAGATTTTGTCAGCAACACCCAACAAACCCGGGTCAGCACGGTAGACCTTGTCATCGGCTGCCTTGTCGACTTGGCGACAGGCCTCATGACCTTCACAGCCAACGGGAAAGAGGTCAACACTTTCTTCCAGGTGAGTCAGGTTTCTTTGTGACGGAAGAGCAGAACGTCTTTCCCAAAAATACTGTAGTAGGAGTCATTCGTTGGACAAAATTATGGCTTCTGTGCACGCAACCCAGCATTAGTTTTTTGGATATCCCGCAGTAAGATGTGGCAATGGCCATAGGCTTGATGTCCTTAAAATGTAATTTAAAAGTTTCTTCCTCCATATATTTTTACTGTGTTTTCTTATAATCCTGTCCCTCTCCAGGTCGAGCCAAACACCAAGCTGTTTCCTGCTGTCTTCGCTCTCCCAACAAGCCAGAATGTCATCCAGTTTGAACTGGGCAAGCTAAAGGTATGGCCTTATCCCTTCATGTTACACCAATTGTAGAGAAAACCTGGGAAGTTTTGCCTCTTAGAGCCACCAGGTTCATTCTGCTCCCTTCATTGGACAGAACATCATGCCGATCTCGGCCGCCATGTTCCGCAGTGAGCGGAAGAATCCAGAACCTCAGTGCCCGCCTCGACTGGCCATCCAGACGCTTACGCCAATGACCTGGAGTCGGATGCCCAATGACTTCTTACGAGTGGAAGTTGCTCGCTTCAGCGACCGGCATGGTTGGATGGTTGAATGCACAGAGCCCAACATCATGATGGCTCTCCACATCCCGGAAGAAAGTCGGTGAGTCTCCCATCATCCCCTCGAAACAGAACCGAAGAGTCAAATTCCAGTCTCTGATGAATGATCCTCTGTGGCTGAGGTGGTGCCATCCTGTAAGAAAAGGAGCAGCTGATCTTCAGCATCTAAAGAAGGTTTTAGTGATCCAAAATGAGAAGGAATTAAGAAAGTCAAAGAAACAGAGATGGGCGCGAACTGCAGTTCAGCAGTTCGGCAGCACAGCTGATCTTCAGGCTACTCAGAGGCCGCAGGGCAGCTTCCAGCCCTGCCTCTGAGTGGCGCCCCCTGGAGGAGGTGGGGGCAAGGGAAGGCAGGACACCCACGGATCAGCTGTGTGGCCGAACCGCCAGTCCGTGGTTCGTACCCACCTCTATGAAGAAATTCTAAAATATAGAAAGGTAGAAAACTATAGTCACATGGCAAGAAATGGAAAGTACAGTTTGTTACCGCTATTAGTTCCAGGCAGAATTAGGTTAGGCCTCATCTGGAGTCCTGCGTCCAGTTCTGGACACTGCAGTTTAAGAAGGGGGTCAACAAACTGGAGGAAGTTCAGAGGAGGGCAAGAAGGAGGATCAGGGGGGCTGGAAAACAAACTGCAGGAGGAAAGACTGAAAGAACTGGGCAGGTTTAGCCTTGAGGAAAGAAGATAGAGGGGAGAGTTTGCAAATTATCTAGTGCTCTGTCATGATCATCATCATCATCTTAGAACTGCAGAGCTGGAAGGGACCCTCAAGTCCAGCCCCTGTCAAGGGAGACCCCATGGGGAATTGAACTGCCAACCTCCGTCACGGCAACCAGGGACTTAAGCTCCTGAGCTGTCCTGCAGTTCCCCGATACATTTCTTTATTTAAAATATTTTCCTCCGCCTTTCTCCTTTAAAAAAGGGCCCAAGACCGCTTACGTCATTAAAAGACATGATTTAAAAGCTTTTTTTAAAAAAAGATAAGTACACAATATTTTTTTAAAAAAAGAATTGAACTATTATTATATTAAAATGTTAAACAAAAGCAATGTTTAAAACACCTTTAGAAACGACAGGGCACCACCATCCATTTCGAAATCCTTGTCACGCAGCCCTTTCTGAACGGCCACTGATGTTCTCTGGTGGCCAGCCGCAAGAGCACCACACCCTCCTTGCTCTCTTCACCCTCTGCTCATTCCTCTACCATCATCTTTCAGGTGCATCGACATCCTGGAGCTGTCGGAGCGCCTCGACCTGCTGAAATTCCACTCGCACACCCTGAAGCTCTACTGCGCGGTGTGCGCCTTGGGCAACAACCGGGTGGCCCACGCCCTGTGCAGCCACGTGGACGAGTCACAGCTGCTGTACACCATCGAGAGCAACCACCTCCCCGGCCTGCTGCGCAGCGGCTACTACGACCTGCTCATCAGCATGCACCTGGAGTCGGCCAAGCGCTCCCGGCTGATGATGAACAGCGAGTTCATCGTCCCCATGACGGACGAGACCAAGACCATCACGCTCTTCCCGGACAGCAGCAAGAAGCCGGGCTTGCCGGGGGTGGGCATGAGCACCTGCTTACGTCCTCCTCTCCACTTTGTGGACACCTGCTTCGTCAGCATCAACTCCGAGTTCTACCAGCTGAGCCCCTCCATCCCCTTGGACATCCTGAAGGTGAAGGCCATCAACATGTTGACGGAGGCCGTCCAAGACGGCGGGCAGCACACCCGGGACCCTGTCGGGGGCAGCGTGGAGTTCCAGTTTGTGCCGGTCCTCAAGTTGATCTGTACCCTTCTCATCATGGGCATCTTCGAGGACGAGGATGTGCGCCACATCCTCAAGATGATTGAGCCCACCGTCTTCGGAGAGGCCAAGGAGGAAGAGGAGGAGGAGAAGAAGGAAGGCGGGGAGGAGGTGGAAGAAGGAGAAGAGCAGGCGGAGGAGGAAGAGTTGGCCGAAGGAGAGGAAGAGGAAGATTACGCGGCAGAAAAAGAGGCAGGAGGGGGGCAGAAGGAGGAAGCCGAGGAAGGGGACGAGAAGGAGCTCAAAGCCATCGAGGCCGGAGAAGCGGAAGCCAGAGAGGAAGAGGAAGGGTTCGAGGAAGGCCTGCTGCAGATGAAGCTTCCCGAATCGGTGAAGTTGCAGGTAACGGTGGCGGCTTGTGGGCTTCCCTTCCCGGCTGGCAAACCTTGGCTCGGGCCGTTCCTAGACATATCAGAGAGTGTTGAGGGACGTTGGGCGCCCATATGGAGGACCCGTGGCTTCTCAGAACGTATGTTCCCTTCAGCACCGGAGATCCACCGGGGATCACCCGCGGGAGGAGACGTCCTGGGATGTCCTGTTTGTGGGCAGGTTGGCAGAGGCCGGCCGAGGTGTGACTGGGAGGCTGGGCTAAAAGCGGCCTTCGGTCAGACCCAGTGGGGCTCTACTTTGGTTCCTAAATCTAGGGCAATGGCAACGGGGATCCCCTAGGCCAGCGGTTCCCAACCTGGCGTCCCCAGAGGTTCTTAGACTTCAACTCCCAGAAATCCCGGCCAGCCCAGCTCATGGTGAGGGCTTCTGGGAGTTTGAGTCCCAGAACCTTCGGGGACCTATGGTTGGGAACCACTGCCATACACTGATAACCTCAAGGTTTGAGTATGGTAATGCTGGCCTTGGACAGAGATCGCCCCTTCTGCTCTTCATTCCTCCGGTCTGATTTCCTCGGTCTCTCCGTAGATGTGCTACTTGCTGCAATTCTTCTGTGACCGCGAACTCCAGCACCGCGTCGAAGCCATCATCGCCTTCTCGGAGCGCTACGTGGACAACATGCAGACCAACCAGCGCAAGCGCTACAACACGCTGATGCAGGCCTTCACCATGTCGGCCGCCGAGACCGCCCGGCGCACTCGGGAATTCCGCTCCCCCCCACAGGAGCAGGTGCTGAATGGGGCTGCGGAGGAGGAGGAGGAGGGCAGAAAGAAGGGCTCAAGAGAATCGGGCCCTTTTTGGCCCTGGAAGCCACTGAAAAGAGGGACTCAGTGCAGGGGAAAGCCTGGTGGGGGCCAGATTTTAAAAGCAAGTGCCCTTCCTGGACTGAACTCTGGGGGAAAATGTGATTAATGTGAACAGTAACACCCTTGTCCCGGTTTTTCTAAGTTTCTGAGCCAGCAAAGAGACTTACTATGTTTCTGGGCTTTTCTGTGTTTTCCCCCTCAGGGGATAAATCTCATCTCAGCCTTTTGGAGGCAAAAACCGCATGTGTTGCTGAGCATCCTCGCCTATTTTCTAAGGTGCTCAGCCTGCCTGAGGACATTAGTGAGGCCTGTGAGCCTCCTGAATGCCCCGGCTTTACTGGGAAGGACCCTTCAAAGTCACCTGAACCAGCCTTAGGTTTGCTTGGCATGTTATTGATATTCCACTTCCCTGTTAAACTAAAGTCAAAGTAGCCTGCAATGAAAAATACAACACCATAGACAATGATACAAAAACAAAGCATCTTACGGGTGGTGTGGTATCTTCCATATGTTCTCTTCACTGCAAATGACAGTGCAGGTACTCAACACCTACTTAATCATCATCGCATTAGAACGGTAAAGTTGGAAGGGACCCTAAATGGTCATCAGGTCCAGCACCCGTCAAGGGGGCATGGTGGGGATTCAAACTCCCAATCTCTGTCCCTGAAGCCAGAGGCACTAAACCACTGAACTGTCCAGAAGTACTTGTCTATTAAATGGGCATCTGAAGTGGAGCTTGGAAAAGCAACTTTTTTTTTCACCCACCACTCTCAAAATCCCCTAGCTAGCCCCATCCTCCAGCTAGAGGATTCTGGCCGCTGCCACGCGAAAATGTCACTTCACCAAGGTCTTCTTCTAAGCAAGTGTCCGGTCTAAACATCCATGCCACACCCAAGGTGCTAGTCCACCTTTTTAACGGCACAGTCCAGGATGTGCTTCTATCCAAGGTTAAATATTTCATGCCAGTCGTGTGCCAGGGGTTGTACTCAAGGTAGAATGAGAAACCTCACCCAGGAGGTATGGAGCCTGCCCTCTCCGTGAGCTACAAGCGGTGTCTTCTTTTCCCGATAGATTAACATGCTGCTGCATTTTAAGAACGGGGCGGACGAGGAAGAGTGTCCGGTACCTGAGGACATCCGTGACGAACTGCTGGAGTTTCATGCCGATTTGTTGGCTCATTGTGGTAAGGAGCTTCTCCTCCCTCTCCCTCCCTCCCCTCGTCTTCACATCAAATAGATTTAGGTGGTAGACCAGAGATCAGGCCAATGTAGCCCTCCCAGATCTGGATTTGGGGACGGCTGGTGGATGTTGCAGTTCTGAAAAGCGAGACAACAGAATCTCCCATTTGAAATCAAGAACTGGGGTGAAATGGAATGGGGACCCAGCATCAGATGAGATCTGAGGTGCTTTTGAGGCTTAAAAAATCAGTTCTGTGCAAAGGTGCTCTGTTGTTTGTAAATCTGTTTTTAGTGTTGCCTTTATTTGCTTTTTTAAAAATAGAATACTTGTTTACTCCCTTTTTAAAAAATACGTGTATACTTACTGTTTTTAGTTTTTCAATGTTGGTCTTTTGACGGTTGTAAACCCCCTTGATCCTTTTAAGGAGGAAGGCGGGGTGAAAATATTTTAAATACAGTAGTACCTCGGTTTGCAAATGCCTCAGTTTACGTCATTTTTGGTTTCTGAACTGCAATCCAAAAGAAATAAAGCCCCAGTTTACGGGTGTTTTTTTTTCACACTATGAAAGGGTTTTCCTAGGATGCATTGTGCTGATAGCGCTCGTAGCACAATGGGCATTTCAGTTTGTGACATTTCCATACTACGTAACATCGTGTAGAACACAGCTGTTTCTCAAACCAAGGTACTACTGTAAATAAAATAATAAATACATTCTGGAACACAAGGAACTTTGAAATCCATAAGAAATAAAGCCCAGTTTACAGGGTTTTTTTCGCACTATGAAAGGGTTTTCCCAGGATGCATTGTGCCGATAGCACTCGTAGCGCAATGGGCGTTTCAGTTTGTGACATTTCCATACTACGTAACATCGCGTAGAACAGAGCTGTTTCGCAAACCAAGGTACTACTGTAAATAAAA